CTGACGTGGTGCCCCCCGTTGTTTGGCTCAGCTTGACACATTTTAAATGTCCGATGAATGTGCTCGATTGTCACTTGACCTTGGGGATGACCACGGACCCTGGTGACAGGCTGTATATTGCAGTTGTCAAGCAAACTCTGAAAGTACCTGCCGGTGTAGACAGGACTGTCACGTCCGCCTCTATTTTTGTGGCACTCAGGCAGCAAAGGCCGGTGCACAGCACCGCGTGGCGTGTCGGCTTCGTTCACCTGAGTGTGCACGGATCACATGGGAGAGGAAACCCGTGGTGACATGAACATACGGAAGTTTGTGAGTGTGCATTTGCCATAGGTGAGTCGTTCTGAGGCTTCTTGGTCTGCAGCCCGGCTGAGAAATAAGCCTGGCCCGTGCACAGGAAGGCCGTGAACCCTGCTCCTCTATCTTGATGCTGATGTTATGGATTAAAAACCAGCGGTCAGCCCAACACCAGTGGAATCAAATCAGCTCGTGCTGAGCCAAGATGTTCCACCTGGGGAAAGTCGCCAGCATAAATGGGGACATGGAGGACCAGAAAGGAGGCACTGTGGGTTCTCTAAGTGCTGCTGTTTGAGCCGCTGGCTCTCCTGGAGGAGCCCACCATGACTAGTTTAGCTTCCCCGGCGTAAGACTGACCATGCTCCCTGGAGGAGCTCGGGACCGTGTTGGTGGAGTGGCTGTGGCGCACTCTGGGGAGCTCTGGTCCTCACATCGGGCATTGCTTCCTGGCTCTGGAGGGGAAGACGTGTGCTGTTTAATCTCCAGGACAAACTCGTCATGCTGGCTTTCTGGCATGCACTCATCTGTTCTTATCATCAAAGGAGCTTGGGACCTCCATGTCGCTGAGGACGGCTGTGGTGCCTTTCAGGACAGCCCTGGTCTTTGCTGTGAGTGTGACTTTTCAGCTCCAGCGTTGAACCCTCATCCCACCGGCACAGCTCCTTCACCCCGCTGGCATGGACTTTCTGGCCTCCACCGCTGACCTTTGGGCCTTCCCGGCACGGATCCATTAGAGAGGCTGGCGTGAGTCCTTCCTGTGGTCTCCGGACCTCCAGTTGGAGTCGTGGGAGGCATTGTCATGGGCTCAGGTCTTCTTCTGGACTCTGCAGGACATCACCGTGGGATCCAGGCCCTCGGCTGAATGTTCTGTGTCTTTAGTGCTGTGCACAGGTCTCCTGCACTTTCTTGTGTTTAACTCTGCGTGATCATCATAAAACAATATTATAAATGCTGCGTCCCGATTCTAATTGTTCCCCTGGCTGTAACACTTGAGCTATGGTAATTTTAAATTCCTTTCACAGAGATCTTTATGAAAAGACTCAAGGGAGTGTCTTGCTTTGTCAGACTTGGAATCAAGTAGACGAAGGATCTTCCTTATAATTTTCCAAGCACAGCGGACCTGAGAGATGAGACGGGGCTCGGATGTGATGGGTGAGGCGCGGGGCGGCCAGGGCAGTGCAGCTCTCTGTGGTCTAACAGTAGTTGTAGCAACGCGGGCTCAGTGCTGAAGGGAACCAGAGCGGCTGCTGTCCTCGGGTTGCTGTCCTAAGGGTCGGTCTGCAGATCGCTCTGAAACACGCACATGAGAACCTGAACCTGAGTGGGGTGCAGAACCCGCCTTCGCGGAAGCACTGTGGACTGGGGCAGCTGTAGAGAGCCGGGCTCCCCGCAGGAGTCCCGTCTGCAGAGCGTGCAGGAGCCCCTCTGTGGCTGCCAGTGGGCCACTTTGGGGAGCTGACACATGTAGGAAGAAGCCTGCACGGGAGGGTCCTGAGGTAGGTAGGGACCTCGGGGCCTCCCCAGGTGATGGCGAATGCTGCCTGCCCGACTGAGGCCACTCGCAGCAAGGCTCAGCTCTGGAGGTCCCACAGCAACGTCTGGATGCGTGCAAGAGCCACAAGCTCGATTTCTTCCCATATTTGCACCGTTTGTTCTGCTGACTGCAGAGGTTTACTGGTCGGTTTGGCAAGAACAACCATTCCACGGGAGAAGTCATCTTGTTAACCGATGGCCCCGATACTCCTGCAGGAGAGCGAGGGGTCTGTAACACAAACAAAGAGGCTGAGAAACATCAATTCTAAACGTTTGCCCGGAATTCAGACATTTTACAACTAAATTCAGTTCTCCTCTGGCCCTTCCGTGAGTTGCTGGAGAGAATTCAAATCGTAATCACCTGCCTAATATTCGGTAAATTTTGCGACTCACAGTTACTTTGACTAATTTGATTCTGAGCTGATTAATCTCGCCTAACAGTTTCTGAAAACCATCTAAACTTTGTGGCTTTTCCATTCTTATCTGAGTGCTCTGTGGCTTAGTTACCTCTTCAGAAACAGCGGAATCCACACACGCTAAGGAGAGCCGTTGTGTAGTGCTAGCTAAAGGTCACAAGCAGGTAACTGTCTCGTGACTTCTACAAAGAGCACGAGTACGTTAGCTTTGGAGGAGACACATGGAGGCTTCATTCCTGCAACGGACAAGTGGGAATTGCATTTTTGAAGCTTGCACTGCAGACAGCTAGCAAGTGTGGCAGGTTGGTTTTCCCAGAGGGAGCCCGTCATTGAAAATATTTTGCTGGCTCGTGAAAATTAATGCTGAAAATGCAAAAAAAAAGAATCAATCCTGAGGAGAGAGGACGATATTAAATATCAGTCTTCAAGAGCAGTGATGTCATGGATTGTAGCAGTAGGCAGGCCAGGTCGCTGTGCCCCGCAGGCAGCATGCTCGGGTTAACAGCCCCTCGGTGCTGATCTCCACCCGCCCGATCTTTTTGACCCTGCAGACGGGTGTTCTGCAGGCTAACGGATCGCTCGAGGTGACCTCAGTGGCGCTGGTCCTCTGTCGGTGCTGGTGAGATCTTTAACCTCTCTTGTGTTAGGGGACACTGGGAAACCCCATTCGGCTCTGCAGTGTCCCACGAACCTGGCAGCACAGGATGGGTGAGGTGACCGTCACCCTCACTGTGTGTCTGTCCTGCATCCAGTTCAGGCTGCTTTGCTTTATTAGAGGCTGACGTGGAAGCCACGGCCCTGAGTCCTTAGCCGGCCCGTGGCTTCCCGGTAGCCATCTGAGCCTTCATCTTGCTGGCAGGCGACACACACTAGGAGGGGCAGAGGTGAGGTCTCTGCCCAATATGTTGATGGGAGCGGGCACAGTAAATGGCCTCCCTGTGTCCCTGTGTCCATCAGTGCTGATACGTGGACGTGAGACTGGTTGGGCCCAACCTAAGATTGCTGAGGAGACAGATGTAGCCGGCCAGGCCGGTGGCCAGGGTTCGCCACTGAGCGCGGTGAGTTCAGCGGCTGCACCCATCGGTCCAGCAAAGGATTTGCATCTAATTTAATGTCCAAATAGGTCTCTGAGCAGAACAATTTTGAGGAAAACAGCTTCCTGTTAAGATACTTATCTTTGGGGCTGGGGATTTAGCTCAGCGGCATAAGCGCCTGCCTTGCAAGCAGGCAGTCGTGAGTTCGATCCCCGGTACCGATAAAAAAAAACAAACAAAAAAAAAGATAGTTATCTTTAGCAGCCTCCAGCAGGGGCAGAGGGACACGCTGCAATGGACATTTTCCTTATGCAAAGCGTGACGCCTGTGGATGTGGTCTCGTGTCATGTCTTTGGTTCTCTGGGAGTGGGGACGAGGGGGATGGTTCGGTCGCGGGTGCTGGGAGTACAGAGCGCGCCGCCATGCCTGGCTCTGATGCGGGACTTTGCATCATGTGTCACTGTCATACTTTATGTATTTTCTGAGTCTACCCAGACTGCATGTTGGAATATTCGTGATGCACAGGTCAGATTCACTTCACAGACGCTGAGCTATTCATCACCATAAGAAATGTTTGACATTTGGTTTCTAATGTGAACCCCATTAAACCTCAGTTTGTTAAAGCAAACTTGGGACTTCTTGTAAACTTACGATGTGTACGTCATAGTCTCAGGCTAAGAGGCTCTAAGTGCAGAGCAGATTCCAAATATTGAGAAAGTGTGTCTGTTTCTTTTCTCTTTGAGATCTGTAAAATATAACTGAGATCAGTGTTTTCAGAGGAATTCGAGTAAATGTTTCTTAAATTTAGAGTTACTTTCCTTCTCTTATAAATAGTTGTAATAAGCATATCATTTAAGGATTCGTAACTTTCCACACTTGTTGTAGCCTGTAGGACTCTGATATTCAGATCATCGGCAACTTTATTTCTCTGTGTGATTTTTCTCTTAGTGTCATGCTACAAACTTCTGAAGAACACGTTGGTAATACCGTACAGTATTTCTTAAAGAATTCTTACACCGTGTGGAGGATGCGGCAGTGAGATGCACTTTTGACAGTGTACTTTGCCTCAGAAATGTCTCTGTATCCGCATAGCATGGAGACCTTTAATAAGAAGGCATGTTTTTGTATTTTCATTGATAATCAGCTAAACACTGGTCCGCAAACAACAGCCTTTGTGATCTCTCTGTAGCTTTTTGTGTGCTGACCTTGACATTAATTGGAGCTACATTTACGTATAGTTTATATGCTGGTTGTGAACCGCATAGCTTCAGTGTGTTGGCACGTTTTCAAAGAGTGTTAAAACTATGAGAAAGCCGGGTGTGGTGGCTCACGCCTGTCATCCCAGCACTCACCGGGGAGGCTGAGGCAGGAGGGTCGTTGTGAGTTCGAGACCAGCCTGGGCTACAAAGTGGGCTCAAGACCGGCCTGGACTGCACAGCGAGACCCTGTCTCAAAAAGACACACAGACACACACACACAAAATCACTATGAGAAACACTATGAATTTGTTCCAGTTGATTTTTTAAAAAAAATTTTCAACAGAGAATTTATACCCAAGCAACCTTGTGGTAGAATTAAACATAGTTCCTAATTGATAAACTGTAAGTGAAAAATACACTCAATAAAATCATGCTGTCTACTAATCATGTAAGAGGGTGAAGACAGAAAAGCAAGCCTTTGTCATTCAGCAGGGGTTTATAATCTGATCACAAAAAGACAGTAACACAGATAAAACCTAGTGATTTATTATAAGGAAATGCTATGCATTGTTTAAAATTTTAACATCTTAAAGTTACGGATGCACAACCACAGTGGAACACATGCACAGCATACACAGGGACCTGAGTTAGAGCCCAGCACAGCAGGCAACAAAGCTAACGGCAAAAATATAAATATCTTCAAAAGCAAATTAAATATTTTCACCCCAAAGAAACACAAAGTTTAGAAAGATTTTAGTTGCATCAGTAAAGACTATGATGGTCTTTCGCTGTGAATAATAAATAAGTGAGTTTAATTTATTTATTTTTCAAATCCATTTTATTTCAAGCATAAAAAAGCAAAAACCTACAATAAAATTTCAAAGGGCATTAATCAGCGGGCAGCCATGGTAAATCCACTGGACATGGGCATCGTCAAAACATTCACTTGGAGCACAAGACGTCTGAAAAGGAGCCCTGCTCCACTGTTGGTGGGAATGCAGACGGTGCAGCCACTGTGGAGCTCAGTGTCAAGATTCCTCAAAAACCAGAAGGCCATTCAACCCAGCTATTCCCTTCTGGGAATCTTCCCCAAAGCATTAAAAACATCGTACCACAGTGATACATGTGCACGCATGTTTATAGCGGCACAGTTTGTAATAGCCCGATCTTGGAAACAACCTAAGTGCCCTTCGTCTGAGGAATGGATAAAAAAGTTGTGGTATTTTTTTATAGTGGAGTACTACACAGCCATAAAGAAGGATGAACTGAAGACTTTTGTAGGCAAATGGATGCAAGAGATCACACTCGGTGAAATAAGTAACACGGGGCTGGGGATTTAGCTCAGTGGCATAAGTGCCTGCCTTGCAAGCGCACGGTTGTGAGTTCAGTCCCTGGTACCGATAAAACAAAATTTGTTAAAAAAAAAAAACAAATAAGACAGGTGTGAACATAGTTCTGTGTCATTAGTGTAAACACTGGAATAACATGTGTATGTGTATGTATAAAATGGTTAAGATAATTATACGTCTGAGATGACTGAAGAGAAGGATTTGTGCTCGCGCTTTTCAGACAATTGAATGTAGATGTTTTGTGCCCTGGTGAAGGATTCAGGGGTGACAATGTGCTCTGTATGTACCACTGCTGCCCCCTGATGGAAGCATTGTGAAATTCTGTTTTAATTTTATGCTGCTTTTGTTCATTGAAATAAAATGGATTTGGGAAAACAATTTGAAAAAGAATAAATATTTAAGCAGATGAAGTGGCTCACGCCTGTCATCCCGGCACTCAAGTGGCTGAGTCAGGAGGGTCCTAGTAAGTTCGGAGCAGTCTGGGGAACAGGGCGAAGCCCCAGCACCAAAAAAGAGTAACTACAGGAGCTCGATGCTGCCTCAAAGTACATGATAATTGTGTTTCTGTGGCCCTGCGCTAGATCCAAATACGAAGTGAGTGTTTCTTGCATAACAGAAGCCTTGGTATTTTGTTTTCTTTTCTTTATGGTTCACATTTAGTCATCGCGGGTAACATGATACCAAAATCGAATTTTCCTTTGTGGTTCCACTGGCTTGTGTTTGAATCTTTTCTGCACACAGTCCGTTATGCTAGCAAGAATTTGCTAATTGGGTGTCATATTTTATCATTTTATTACTGTCAATTTCTGTACGTGTGCTCAAGTGTTGATGGGTCTCCAAACAATACGGAAATTAGCAGACACGTCTTTCAGTGCTCCAGGAAGACATCTATTAACATAGCAATGTTTTACAGACTACACGTAGTGCGCAATTTTCAGAGCCACTAACATGCTGTGTGTACACTGTCGGGGTTTTTTTGTCATTAAATTTTGTAGACTCTGTCATTTACTTACTTTATTTTGGTACCAGGAATGGAACTCAGGACCTTGCACTTGCCCGGCAGGTGCTGTGTCACTGAGCCACATCGCCCGCTTTATCATTAAATTTTACTTTTATTTATTGATTTTTTGATACCAGGAATTGAACTCACGACCTCCACTTGAGTGGAGACAGAAAAGCAAGCCTTTGTCATTCAGCAGGGGTTTATAATCTGATCACGAAAAGATGGTAACACAGATAAAACCTAGTGATTTATTATAAGGGAATGCTACGAATTGTTTAAACATTTAACATCTCAAAGTTACGGGAAGCACTGACGCAACCTGACATCCAAAACACAATCCGTAGTTTTGTGAGTCTCCCAGAGCCGGACGCCGCAGAGCCATAAATCTTCTCAAAGAAGACACAGTGCAGCGTAATAGTTCACCTGTCCGCCAGCGGTCAGTGCTGCCGTGACCTGGTCCTGCCGCACAGAACGTGTTTAAGCAGTGGTGGTGACGATCCTGACCCCAGCGTCCCTCCCACTGTCCACACAGAAATGTGTGATGGGTCAGAACAACGTTAATAACCAGAATGATTTGGACACTTAAATGTAGAACTCTGAACAAATCAGCAAAGTGTTTCCACGGGGGATCAGACAGATTCATCCAGCTTTTCAAACTGAACACACCGGTCTGCTCCTCTTCAGCTCTGCAAGTGACACGCCAAGCAGTGTGCACCGTCTGTAAGTACGCAAGGAATTCCGGCCAAACCGATGTCCCAAAGCCGGCGGCAGGCTCACCCGGGCCACGCTTCCATCGATACCGGGGCAGGAGTTGGCAATGAGAGACTAACAGGGGGAAGGAACAAGCGGAGGGTGCTGATGAATACCTTCACGATAGCCTTAGTCAGATTCAATCAATAAAAATACTAAAACTATGCTAAATAATCAAGGGTTGCACTTATTACAATGGATCCGAAATAGTCCCGCAGCATCCTCCGTGCTGACTGCAGGAAACATACTACTGTTATCTTAAATTTTTCATTTGAAACCATTTTAGCCAGGCAGATCATGCGAACATAAATGTTAATATCCTGTAAACCATTCGGCCGGCTCTAATTATACCCACGACCAAAAAGAAAAATTAAATTTGGGACTCTGACATCTACACGGCGCTGCTGCAGGGGAGGATCATTTGGATTCCATCTGCGGGCACCGGGCTGAGCTTCTGAATGCCAGAGCCGACTCTGTGCCCCCTCCTGATTTGTGCTGGTCATGGTCCCCAAGCTTCGTCCAGTCTCAGGTTTCTTGGGTATCTCTTTACCTTTTGATACAGCATCCTCCTCGTTCTGGGTTATGACAGTCGGGTCATGCACTGACCAGGGACGCTGTAGGAAAGTGCCCTCCCTTGATTTGCTGGGCGCAGACATCCTTGGTGGCATACGTTCCAGTGCTGCTGGGATCGGTACTGATTCATTTTTTTCCTTTTATGGTATTTGACAGAATCGGCAATATAGTTCCTTCTTCCCCTTTGTAATTAGTATCTTTGGCAGGCTACACACCACATAAATAACCCATTTCTCTTCAAACACCGACCACGGCAGTGTTCACGCCACGTAGGCCACGTTCAGTGATCTACTTTCTCATCAGTGTCTGAATCTGGCTGAGCCGAGCTGTTGGGATTTCTGCCGCACTGCTGGGCCTTACGGCTGTAATACAATACATACAGTTCTGCACGCCTGATTTGTAGACCTCCGATGACTTTCTGAACGGTACACCCTGCTTAATCAATACCATCATTTTTGCTGGTTGTACTACATCACATAGAACTGCAGCTTGGTGTTGTCTTACCTTCCGTCCGTACTGGAGGCCAAATTATGCAAATAAAACCAAGCCATCATGCTGGCGTTTCTTTGACCAATTCTTTGTTCTGCCTTGGAAATGTGCATGCTGCAAACAGTTCCTCAGTTAGCAGCCAATTCAGTTAATGACCTGGTCACAGGAGTACAACTAGGTCATTAGGTGAGGAGTGTCTATAGCGATGCCGTAACTGTTGCCGTGAATAACTTTACAGTAGTGTTTGCTTAACCCTGCTTCATCTTCATGGTGGTTTCTATTCGTAAGTAGCAGAGAACCCACTTGCTTGTGAACGCACGAGGGTAGCTACACGTGTAGATCCTCACACTAGCGAGGGCAACTGGAGGGGTGATATCAGGAGACGGAAAGCAGATTCTGAGCAAAGCCTGGATTGCTAGGAGCAGAAGCAATCACGGGGGAAGCTGGTAATGAAAAGAGGTAACTAAGGAGAGAGACAGAGACAGAGACAGAGACACAGACACAGACAGAGACAGAGAGACAGAGACAGAGACACAGAGACAGAGACACAGAGAGACAGAGAAAGAGACAGAGACAGAGACAGAGAGACAGAGACAGAGAGACAGAGACAGAGAGACAGAGACAGAGACAGAGAGACAGAGACAGAGAGACAGAGACAGAGACAGAGAGACAGAGACAGAGAGACAGAGAAAGAGACAGAGACAGAGAGAGACACAGAGAGAGAGACAGAGACAGAGAGAAAGAGACAGAGAGAGACAGAGACAGAGAGAGACACAGAGAGACAGAGACAGAGAGACAGAGACAGAGAGACAGAGAGACAGAGACAGAGAGAGACACAGAGAGACACAGAAAGAGAGACAGAGACAGAGACACAGAGAGACAGAGACAGAGAGAGACACAGAGAGACAGAGACAGAGAGACAGAGACAGAGAGACAGAGACAGGGTGACAGGTTTCACCACCTGTCTTTTATTTCGCTATCGTTTTATCATTTTGTTTTCTTGAGGCAGAGTTTTGCTACACCTTCAGGGTGGTGCTTAATCCCCTGGATGGCCCAGCGGATTTCAAGGCCCAGAATGGCCTTGAAAGCAAGAAAACCCTTGTGCCTCAGCTTCCCAAATGCTGGGAGTTCAGGCACTCACCACCGCACCTGTCTCTTCGTTTAATATGGCAGGAAAAAGAAACATTTACAAGTCATGTCACAGTAACACCGTGACACAATTGTTTGTAAGCGCTCGTGGAAGAATGTTTTCTCTTTTATTGGAGTGTACTTGGATTAACTGCATCCAGTTTTGCTCCTCCCACTCACCCCCCCTTCCTTCCCCGATTACGCCTGCCGCGGCCGTCCGTCTGTCCCCCGGCCTGTCCCCACTCACGACGTCCCCTTCCCGCAGGGGCTGAGTCTTCGCAGGACACTGACCACGCAGCCTTCTGAGCACAGGACAGGCCCCATTTCAGGGAGGGGAGCAAAGTCATGAAGAAAACAGACGCAGCTCCGGAAAAGCAGTAAATTGCTTAAATACAATTATTTGAGGTCAGTTGACATCGGCAGCTTCGCACAACCTGTCATTTGAGCCCCAGCCAAGCAGACAGGAGTTTACTTCCGCCTCACTCTGCGCAGAGGGAGGGCAGTAGAGCAGGAGCCAATCAGCTCTGAGGCACAGCATGCGCTGTCCAATCAGGCGAGCCTAGGTGGGCGGGACTTCCGGTGTCATGGCTCCCTGTCTGTATCACAGTGCTGCAAGATCGCTGGGTCCGCAGACCGCTTTCGGGGACTTCTGCCGGCTGCAGACCGCGTGGGAAGGACTCGGGGACACCGGGAAGCCGCGCAGTGGTGATGGTGCGGGACGGAAGCCGGGGAAGGGATGGGGTCGGGCTGAGGTGTGAGAGGAGGCGGCCGGAACCGGCTCTGGGAGCCGCAGCCTCCCGCCGAGCTCCGGACCCCGAGGTCCTCCGGGCTCTTTTGCACGCTCAGCAGCGCAGAAAATAGACACCTTAGATGTTTATGTCTGACCCCTGCTGACAGCAGTAAACAACAGGGCTCGTGGGCTCATGGCATTGCAGAGTGAAGTCCTGAACCCAAAGGAGTCTTGGTGTTACCCCGATGGCTCTGGGCCTCAGGGCGCCACACTCACCCCTGGTGGGCCTGTCTCTCTCTGACAAAGAAAGAGAAAGAGGATCAGGGAAGAGGAGCGCCCAGCAGAACTGTACTGCAGATATTGCATGGAGAGGTGCAGGGCCACCCCAGGGGAGAAGTGCTGACCCAAAAAACCAGGTGTGCAGTCCTGTTTACGGGTGGGGCCCATCTGCACCCTCCAAGGGTCAGTGCTGCTAGAGCCTGGGTTTGGCGGGTAGTAGGCGTATTTTCCAGGACATGCCCAGCAGCTCGTTTTGGGGAAGAGACCTTGCTCAAGGCAAGCTTAGAGGAGGAGCAGGCTGTGGCTACACAGACACAGGTAGGACTGTTTGCTGGACACGGAGGCCCTGGTCCTCGCCTTCTAAGGAGTGCTCAGTCCCTTACCCAACCCTCCCGTGGGTCTCAGCTGTCCCTGCAGGAGGAGAGTATCCCTTAGAAATAGCAAGATTGGCTCCCTGAGTCTTGGAAGCATCCTGAGTGGGTGACCAGGGGGCTGCTCCATCCAGAGCTAAGTAGACACCCAGAGCACGGTGATTGCTCAGTTATTTAATGTCCAGCTCTCCCAGGTGATTCTGTATTGAAAATGATCATTGAAACTCAGGTATGCAGATCAGTTTTCTCACCATGTAGGGTTTGAAAGAAATTGAGATTTTACAGGAACAGTGCACTTTGCACTTGAAGTCCTGGAACCGGGGAGCTTGGTAGGGAGCAGCTGCAGGCCCTCGCAGTGGGGAGGCTGCGTTGCCTGTTTGGGAGACAAGCCTGCTGCTTCTCTGTACCGATCCCCCCTTCTGATTTTACTGCTCACTAATGTGGCCTAGCACACAACTCTACCTCGGGCATTCTACATAGTGCCTTATTCATAGGGTTGTAAAGGCTGGTTGAGGGAGGCCTTGTGGAGTGTTTAGAACTCTGAGGAACGTGGTGTGGATATTAACGTGTTACCAGTGCGGAAAGAGGCACTCTTCTGTGAGAGAAAATAATCCAGATAACCCCATTTTATCAGCATGCATTTTTTTTGTTTTTTCTCACATGTTTTGCTGTTTTTTGGTTTTGTTTTGTTTTGTTGTTTGCTTCTTTTTGATTTTTTTTTTTCGGCGCCATGCATAGAACTCACAAACTCGCACTTGCCAGACAGGCGCTGTGCCACTGAGCTATATACCTGGCCAGCATCCTAATTTTTTGTTTCAGTGTTTGTTTTCTTCACATCCACTTTATTTCAAGGAGAAAAAAGAAGAAAAAAATCTAAAAATTTCAAAACGTGATCAGGAGGCCACAATGGGACATTGTGCCCTGTCATCTGTAAATCTCTCATCCAGAGCAAAAGATACCAGCATTCAGTTGTCTGAACAGTAACAGAAAAATTGTTTCTCTTTAGTGCGCTCAGAGGAATCAGTAGTGTTCTGTCTTAATTATTTATATATGTATATACATAAACATACGCATGTTTATATATGTTATGTAATGTTATGCATCATGCATAGCATAATCTGACTAAATGAGGCCTTTTGTCTTTCAACTCCTCACACTACATACAGAATACAATATTTACACGTGTGTCTTATTTGTGAGTACATTCTGAAGAGGCAATCATTTACCTATAAAAGTCTCCAGCTTATCCTTTTTATGGCTGAGTACTACTCCATTGTAGAAAAATACCACATCTTTTTTATCCATTCCTCAGTCAGTGGGAACTTGTGTTGTTTCCGAGATCTACCTATGACAAATTGTGCTGTTAAACATGGGTGCACATATGTCACTGTGGAATGATGTTTGAAATTCTTTTGGGAAGATCCCCAGAAGGGGAATAGCCATGTTGAATGGGACCTTTAGTTCTAGATTTTGGAGAAATCTGCACACTGATTTCCACAGTGGTTGCACCAGTCTGCACTTCCATGAACAGAGGAAAGGGTTGCTTTTTCCCCACAGCCCGTCCAGCATTTGTTATTGCTTCATTTCTTGATCCTGGCCATTCTTTCTGGGGTGAGTTGAAATCTCAGTGTTGATTTAATTTGCATCTCTTAAATGACCAGGGATGTTGAAATTTTTTTCACATATTTACTTGGTGTTTGTATTTCTTCATCTGAGAAATGTGTGTTCATCTCAAATGCCCCATTTTGGATTTGATCTTTAAATCTAGGAGCACTTATCTGTTTGAGTTCTTTATGTGTTCTCGATAGTACCCCTTGAGTGAGGAACAGCTGGCAGATATTTTCTCCAGTGCTGTGGGCTTCTCTCCAGTCTGTTGCTGGTTTCTCTTGATGTAAAAAGCTTTTCAATAGGGTGACATACCAGTTTTTGGTTCTTTGTGATAGTTTCTGTGCATTTGGGGTTTTGTTCATAAAATCTTTGCCTAATGTCTTCAAGAATTTTACCCACTCTATGTTCCAGCAGAGTGAATATTTCTGTTTCAATATTGAGATCTTGGGTTCATTGTGAATTTCAGCTTAGCACATAGTTAAAGATGTGGGTCCGGTTTTAATCTTCAGCATGTATAGAGCCAGTTTTTCCAGCACCATTTATTAAAGAGGCTGTCTTTCTTTCTTTCTTTCTCTCTTTCTGTACTGGGGATCAAACTCGTGCCCTCGAGCTTGCCAGACAGGCGCTGTGCCACTGAGCTAAACCCCCGACCGCGAGGCTGTCTTTCTTCCAGTGAATGTGTTTAGCGTATTTGTCCAAGACAAGGTGGCTGAGTATGTCTGGAGTTGGTTCTGCATCTCTTCATCTGTTGCATTTATCTTTATATGTTTTTGTTTTGTTTTTTGCTAGTACCACACTGTTTTTACGACAGTAACTTCATAGTGTAATTTCAAGTCAGAGATTGTGATGGCCCCGTCTTGTCTTTTTTGCCAGAATAGTCTTTGCTGTTCTAGGTGTCTTCTGGTTCCAGATGAATTTTAGCATTGTTTTCTCTAGTTCTGTGAGAGCTGCTGTTGGCATTTTGATTGGAGTTGCACTGAGTCTGTATAACAGTTTTGGAAGTGTGGCCAGTTCCACTGTATTGGCTCCTACCCAAGAGCATGGCATATCTCTCCATTTTCTAATATCCTCTTCAATCTCCTTTTTCAGAGCACTGTAGTTTTCAGTGTAGAGGTCTTTTACGTACTGCATTAGATTGATTCCTAGGAACTTGACTTTTTTGGATGCTATTGTAAAAGGTTTTGTTTCTCTCATTTCTCTCTCAGTGAGTTTTTTATTTGTGTATTGGAACGCTGTTGAGTTTTCAGTATTGATTTTGTACTCAGATATATTACTAAATTTGCTTCTTAAATCTAATAGTCTTTTTGTGGAGTTTTGGAATCTTCATGTAGAGCATCATGTCATCTGCAAACGATGATATTTTGACTTTCTCCTTTCTATCTTGATTCCTTTTATTTCTTTGTCTTGTCTAATCGCTCCAGATAAAGTTTCCGGGACTATGTTCAGTAAGAGCAGAGCGGGGACAGCAGACATCCTCGTCTCGCTCTTGATTTTAGAGAGAAAGCTTTCAGTTTTTGTCCATTTAGTATGATGCTGAGTGTTGTTTTGTTGCAGATGGTTTTAATCAGATGGAGACGGCGACCATGTATCCCAGTTTTCTGTCGGGTTTTTATCATGAATGACTGCTGGACTGTGTCGAAAGATTTCCTGCATCTGTGATCATATGGTTTTTGTCCTGGCTCTGTTAACACGGCGTGTTACAGTTACGGATTCGTGTATGTTGGACCACCCTTGCATTCCTGGTCTGAATCCCAGTTGATCGTGGTGTACAATCACCTTGATGATTTACCGCACTCCGTCGGTTCTTACTGAGGGTTTTCCCAGCAGTGTCCCTTAAGGAAGGCGTCCGGTAATTCTGTCTTAGTTGGATCCTTTTCTGATTTTGCTATCAGGGTAACGCTTGCTTCCAGGAGTGAATTAGGAAGTGTTGCTTCTCTGTCAGCTCCATTCCATAGTTTGAGAAGCAGTGGTGTCAGGTCTTTTCTAAACGTCTTGTGGATTCAGCAGTGAATCTGTCTCCCTTCTGTGCCCTGCTGGTGGTCAGCAGGGTGCTGTTTAATTTCCGTGGGTGTTGAAGCTCTGCTGGTCTCCTTTGCCCCCGGTTCCGGGGTCCCTGCACGGTGGTCTGACAGTGTGCGGGGTTCCTTCCCTGCCTCGGCATTCACGGCAGCGTGTTCTGTGAGCTGCTTTATGGTCTCCTTTGGAGAACAGCCCACGTGAGCCGAGAAGAATGTAGGTTCTCATGTTGTGGGGTGGAACACTGTAAACATCTACTAAGTGCATTTGTTCAAGTTGGATTTAGTTTTAATATTTCATTATTGTTTTTTGTCTAGTTATCAGGTTTTATGTGACAGTGGGGTATTGAGGTCTCCCAATAGAACTGTACAAGCCTTTTTGATTTTTCATGTCCAGTAATTGTTTCGTATACTTGGGTGCACTGGAAATGTTGCATGTGTATTTGTGATTGTTGTCTCTTCCCGTTGGACTGTCCCCTCTGTGAGGATGTAGTGATCTTGTTTATCGCTCTTAATCAGTCCTGGCGTGAAATTCACTCTGTCTACAAATAGAACAGCCCCCCCTGCTTTTTCCGAGCTCCACTCACATGGAGTATTGTTTTCTATGCTTTGACTTTGAGTCTGTGCATGTCATTTTGAATTAAATGTGTTTCTCACGTGCAGCATATTGTTGGGTCCCACGTCGTGCTCCGTTATGTCTTTGATTGGTGATTGCAGGCCGTTAACACTGATTGTGCTGACTGGCATTACTGGCTTTTCTGTGTCACCTTGTTTTTGTCTTGGCGGGTCTCGCATTCTGCTCCCCGCAGTCGTTGGCCTTGTCTGAGGGATCCCTCATGCTGGAGTTCATGGAGCTGTAACCCTTGCCCCCTGCACTGCCGTCTGTCTGCAGAGCATGCTGTGCCCATCCAGTGCATCTCCGCGAGTCCCTCCGGGGAGGCGGCTCCCCCAGCCGCTCTCTTCCTCACTGAAGGTTTGCTATTTGCTCTGTCTGCGGGCTTCAGGTCACACTTCAGTCTCCCTGGTCCAGTGCCCCCTTTTTTTTTTTTGTAACACGATTTTATTAAAAAATGTGCATGCGCTTGGTTCACAGTGCTCGGAGAGCCTGAGGCTAAGCGCTGCCTGGACGTTGATCTGAAATAAAACTCTGCAGCAGAGGGCTTTCCGGGTCACGGCATCCACCCTGCCTGGAAAGTGTGAGGTCATCAGTGCACCGACCATGTAGCTCATGAGGTCCCTGACCAGCCTGAGCAGCGTGTGCGTGTGCGTGTGCGTGTGCGTGTGTGCGTGTGCGTGTGCGTGTGCGTGTGCGTGTGTGTGTGTGTGTGTGTGTGTGTCAGGGACACAGCGCGGCCTGCCTGCCTCCGCCGTCTGCCGCACTCTCCTCTGCTGAAGGCAGGTTCAGCTCACCCTGGAAAGCTCACTTTTCTCCTTTTTATGGCATCAGACAAATTGACCACAACAGCGAGGAGGGGAAGGGCTCTTGCTCAGGGCAACTCTGAAAGTGCTGCGTGTGACACCCACACTGAGACACACGGAGCTGGGCCGCTGCGTGGACGTGGGCGTGTGACACTGGCAGCAGAGGGAAGGACAAGCTGTCACCCTCAGGTCACTGCTGTTGAAGATTTAAAATGAAATGCAGGACGGTGGCTGCCGTGGCCTGGGGCTGGCTTGGAGGTCAGAAGCCTCAGGAAAGTGGGGAGCCTGTGACGGCTGTGACTGTGTCTGCTTTGTCACTGATGAGTTCACCTCACCGCATCGTCCACGACACAGTTGGGATGAGGACGTTGGTCCTGTAGGTTAATAGCAGGCTGGTGCCCTCACTGAAGTGCAACAGGAACCTGATTGTCCTGCACACACAGATTTCAAGGTGTGCTTGAAGGTTTTATTATTTGGGAACTGAATCAAGAATTTTGCTCTAGCCGCATGGGCCCCGTATTTCCTTTTAAATTTTTGACACTTGATCTTAACTCAGTTTCCCAGGATGGGAGGACATTTGATACCGCGCCCACCGGCCTCACTGCTGGGGAGACAGGCGTGTGACGTTTAGCTGGCTCAAGGCTGGGTTCTCTGACCACCGTGGTTTCCCAAGTGTCTGTCGCTGAGGAGAGAAAGCACCAGTGAGCCGAGCGGTGCAGCCTAGGTGGCAGCTGCTTGGGGGCAGAGGCGGGAGTATGGGGACACCAGGCCCAGCCGACAGCTGAGCAGGAGTCTGTGTCGGGGTGGAGTAAACATTGTGGGATGTGCCCTGAGTTATATCTTTAGAACTACAAAAATAGAGAAAAGTTATTGACTGAAATCTTTGTTTTGTATTTTATTTACTTCTCTCTCTGGGGGTATATGGTACAACATCTGTCTGGATGAACAGCGGTCACAAGTCACTGCTGTGTCAGCAGCCGGACACGCAGGGTGAGCACGCAGTGGTTTCAGGGCACTGCGCTCCATAATGTGTGTGAGCTATGCAGTGTTTTACCATGAACTTCCATGTGTGTGACACACATGTCCCCAAATACAGATGCAGGGGTGTGTGTTACACAGGTTTAAAGTTTGACAATAATGTTAGCTTGATCTGGATATTCTGTTCCTTTGAGCACATTTCATTGTCCACTCTCTTGGGTAGATCAGTGATTCCGTCACTAACTCAGCATCTGTACCCTGACTTTTTTGTTGGTTTGCTCCTTTGCTGGAGGCAGGGTCTCTGTATGCAGCTCAGGCCGGCCTTGAGCTCACTCTGTAGCCCAGGCTGCTCTCGAACTTGAAAATGTTTGTCCAGCCTCAGCCTCCCGAGAGCTGGGATTACAGGAGTGCGCCAGCACAGCGGGCCGTGGGCTCCTTTCCCCATCTGTGTGGCGTCCTGTTAGAAGGCGGCATCCCTCAGGTTGTCCCTGTTGAGTGCTGTTGATCAGGGTCCCCACAGCGACCAGCCAGTGGAGGTAGCCGCGCTGTTTGGGAAAGGGAACCCTGCTGCGGGGACGCCTTGGAAGTGCATTCATGGCAACAGTCTCTTACAGAAAAAACAGAAGACAGAATAGAGCTTTTCACGGACGCACCAGGCCAGCAGTTTAACCCGCGGCAGTCACCGGCCTGCACGGCTGTGTCACCGCCTCCGCCTTCCTCTTCAATTTTTTCATTCCTTCCTCAGAGATTTAAAGGGACTCAGAAGCTCTGGGGCTGTAACCTCTACACACGGCCCTGCAGCAGGCGATGAGTGTGCTCATGGCTCCTGTGCTGTGCAGGCCCTGAGAGCAGTCAGGCCATGTCCCTATTGTGCACGTCCAGTGCCACCATGGTGGATGGTCACTGCCTCACGCGGGTAGTTTAACGTGAGCACTGCGTTCAGCCTCGTGAGACTCACAGGCGGTTCTGCCTCTGAAAGAGAGGAACCTCTAAGGTGCTTAGCATTTGGTACAGAGGGACAGCAAGGGTCAGCTGAGCTGTGGCCTTCAGTAGCTCCTAAAAATGTAGGGGTCGTGTCCATCACTGGGCACAGAGCAGACAGTGACCCTGTACCACTGGGCAGATGACGGAGGGAGCACTGCCCAGAGGGAAGATGGACAGCCGACCACCGCCCGGGGGGAAGGTGGACGGCCGAACAAATGGTGCGATGCTGGATGAAGGGTGTGAGTGCTCCTCGTGTGGTAAAAGAGAGGCAGAGACAGGCTGCTGCTGCCGCTCACCGTGTGCAGCCTGCTGCGTCTCCTGCCTTTGCCCCCATGAGCTGTTTCCCTCTGTGAAGCCCTCCTTGCGACCCATCTTGAGTGAAATCCCTACAAATCTGAGACAGAGACAAGCGTTTCCTCCCGTAATTGTGCACGGTGGGCGTTTTGGCTCAGCCATGAGTAAAGGCCAGCTAAGACCTTGCTGTCCACTGTGAGCCCTCCGAGGCCTCGCTTCCTTCCATTCTCTCTGTGGACAGCGCATGCCCTTCAGTGTGGAGTGTGAAAGTGTAGCTGAAAGAAGCTGTCGCATCTTCAGGGGTACTTAGGACTGAAATGTCGGGGTCTGTGCCTAGACCCCCAATCTCCTACGTGGGTGCACGGTGAAGGCGCAAAGGAAGAGCCAAGCGCATAAAGGACGTGGCTGTGAGCTTCACCAGGGAGCTTTAGGGCTCCTGGAGGGCTAAAATCCCTGCAGAGCTCCTGACTGGCTGTCCCTGGGCAGCCCGGATTTATCCAAAACCAGCCAGGAGCTGAGTGAAAATGCAGGAATCCTGAGCAGGATCTTGGGAGGGACTCCAGGACCCTCAGAGCAGCAGACGATGCTCATGTAGGAAGGCCATCCAGGAAGCCTGGGGTGGCCTCAGCTGTGGCCCGCGTCCCCCCTGAGGGGTCCCCCATCTCTGCTCAGCCACCCCCGGGCCACAGCTCTGCAGTGTGTTCAGCTTCCAGGACTCCAGCACTGAGAGCTTCTGCCTTTGGTTCCTGTGCCCGACCTCTTGGTGTTTGTGCCTTTCATACACGTTGTCACATACGCACCCCCGTCTCTCCCTTGGGCCACGTTCAGGTCACCGAGCCACAGGATAAGGTGGCCTGTTACTCTACCTCACCGTTCCTAAACACTCTCCAATAGAAAGTGTAATTGTTTTTAATGGCTTCCCAAATCATCAGTCGTAAATCTTGGTTAGTGTTCAGCCAGTTTTGACTAGTTCTTAGTGTTGTCTAGGGTTAACCCTTTATCGAGACAGGCAGGTTTAAATTTTGAAATGCTGACTAAGTCAGTCAGAGACAGGAAATAAGTTCCCTAAATTACGAGTTAAAGGAGAAAACATTATTCTTTTATCTCTCAGAGCAATTCATCAGACATTATTTGTTTACTTTCTTCACTTGGTTTCTGATTTGTAGGTTTGTTTTATGGCCCGTACTTTACGGAGCTTGTACAAGCAAACCTCGATGTGACCAGCAGGAGCAGCACTGTCCCATCATCCCGCTGTGGCTCGGCACCGAATTCCAGGGCAGCCTCACAGGTCCCGTGTGATGAGTGCCTCTGGATGGACAGTCAGTGAGGACCGAGCGTGAAGCAGAAAGTGGGAACCTCAGCCCCGTGTGGGCTGTTGAGGAGCAGAGCTGAGCTGGCTCGTGCCGTGAGCCTCCCTCTTCCTCCTGGAATCCACGTCTGATGATGCAGGAGGCGGTGACCTTCGAGGACGTGGCTGTGAGCTTCACCGGGGAGGAGTGGGCTTTGCTGCATCCTTCCCAGAAGAAGCTCTACAGAGCTGTGATGCTGGAAACCTTCAGGAACCTGGCTGCCGTAGGTGAGGGACACGCTGTGTTCTCATTTATGCGGTCGGAGAGCACTGGGTCCTGCCATCAGCTCAGTCTCTTAGCGGGAAGATGGACACGCTGTGACGCGTGTCCCGGCAGGATCACACTGTGCCGTGAGTCCCCCTGGAGCTGGTGATTTTCATATCTGTGGTCAGTCATCAGTATGTTTCTGTTTGTACCCTTTAGGAAGGATTTCGGTTGACCAGCACATTGAAGATGAATATAGAAATTACAGGAAATATCTAAGGTAATTTGTACCCAGAAAAGAATACTCCTCAAGTGTCATAATGTTAAACCTAAGAAGAGAAACAAGATGGTGTTTGAACTTCTTTAACCTTTCAGAATTTCTCAGTGGATGTATACTCACTGCATATCTTGATCTGACAGCTGAGTATTTGAAATATTCCAGTATCTCAAATGTGGGGGTCGTCATAGTAAGCCATGACTGATGTTGCTGCGATAATGTGGGATAAAAACCAGCCAGGTGACACAGAACCTGCTTCTTCTTGCAGCATTTCAAAGGCTGAGGCGGAAGAATTGCCACGTGTTCCAGGCCAGACTCGGCCACATAGCAAGTTCAAAGCCAGACAAAACTGCAGAGTGAGACCTTGTCTGAAATTTCAAAACATAAATACAAGTTTGGCTGCATACTGAGATTTATAGACATGTAGAATAAAACTGCATTCAAGCATTGCAACCACAGGGATACAAATTTTGTGTGCACGCTAAGAGCTAAATTGTAATCTTATGTCCCTGTTTTTAGAGGAGCACTTTCAAAGCGGACAGATTATATATCATATTGTATATATGATATACAGTATGTATGACATTGCAGTTAAATGTGATGGACACATTCAGTTTCACAGATTGCTAATGTGTTCTCAGAATCCAAGAAGCAGCACTGTTTTGATCGCATTTGTTTTTCTGCAGTCCTCCAAAGACGCAGCCCATTCCTATTCCATCGTGTTAGAAGCACACCCCCAAGTGGTTGGGGTGACGGTCAGTGTGCTACAACGTCTATGGAAACGTGTATAGAGGTTCCATGGAAAAGGAAAAGGAACATTGTTCTTATTTACCTGTTGTTTGTTGGTTGTTTAGAGACACAGTCTAACTGTGTAGCCCAGGCTGGCCTTGAACTCAGTGATCCTCCTGCCTCAGCCTCCAGGATGAGAAGCATGTGCAGCCGTTTCTGCGTATGTTCCCCGCAGTGGTAAAGAGGTCATTTTATAATAGTGCTCAAACACCCATTGGTGGCAGCGCAGCTGTTCTAGGCTGGAAAAAGCCTGAATGCCCATTCGTAGATGATGTGACTAAGGAAGAGTGGGCAGCGTGCTTGGAACCCTAGTGCTCTAGGAAGCTGAAGCAGGAAGACCCTGCATTCGCGAGAAGTCTTGGTAACTTAATGATTCAGCAGACTCTGTTTCCAAAAAAGAACGGAAACTCCTCTGTGTGTGTGTGTGTGTGTGTGTGTGTGTGTGTGTGTGTGTCAGTGCAAAACTCCAGTTCAGTTTCCAGCCCTGAAAAACATGTGGAGTGTGTACATGATTAGACACGGTTCTTCCACAGATGCATGAAGTGATGGCATTTGCCGACCTATGGAAGGATCCAGAGCCCATAATGTTGACCTAAATAAGTCAGAGAAATTTCAGAGTGACAGGTTCTATGTGGCACAGGAACCCAGCACAGGAGTGGAGGAGTCAGTGGGGAAGACATGGTGGAGAGAGAGAGGCAGGCACTGGAGGGCTGAGGGGCTGAGTGGGGGGCAGGGGATGGGGTCATGGGGGGAAAGGTGTCAGAGGGCATCAGTGCACGGAGCAGGGCTCAGCAAGATGCGGCCACGTCTCAGGGTGACAGCCAGTGTGTGCTGCACGCAGCTCCATTCCAGACTCCCAAGTGAGTGTTCCCTGTTCAGTGAAATCTCAGGCCAAGCCGTCATGCAGTACGTACCGTAAGGGGGTGATCATATGTTCTTAGGAAGCATCACAGCAGATCTCATGGGGAATCATTACTAAGCGAGAGAACCAAATGTGACTGGTTGTTTGTTACTCTCTCCCTTGGCAGAAGTGAAGAGCTCGAGCAGTCCTGGCAGTATAAATTATGGTACCAGCATGGACAAATGGTTTGTCAGACTCCGGATGTCACTGTGCGCATGACAGTTGTTGACATAAAGCCAGGCGAAAGCATCTCCTCTAGAAGGCCCCTGGTGGGTCGTCCATCAGCAGAGGGGCCCATCGTGGCTGCCGCTGCACTCAGACCACATGAGCATCAGGGATTTCCAGAGGAGCAGTTTACCTGCAGCGGACGTGGGGAAACCTGCACAAGCCTCCACTCTTCTCTGAAACATGCAAAGACAAGTCCTGGGGAGAATCCCTTTGAATGTGTGCCCTGTGCCAACTCCTGGCCTGGTGGCATCGAAGTCAGTACCATGGAAGAGAAGCCGGAGGGCAAATCATTCTCGACACCCAGCGATGCTCAGCCGTGGGAATGGAGTAACAGTGCACTAAACGTGTACACCTGTGTACCGGTGGGGGAAGGTTTCCATTCTCACCGTGATATTCAGACACAGGGAGCAGCTCACTCTGGAGAAAAATCTCATGTACAAAAACACTATGCAAAATGTTTAACTAAGAATTCATGGGGTAATCATGAAAGTCACATTGGGGAGAAACCCCAGTCATTCTGGCCATGTGGAAAAGCTTTTAGCATAAATGGCTTTTGGCAAACTGAAGAAAGCACTCCCGCTGCCGTAAAACCTTATGCATGTAAGCAGTGTGGCAAAGTTTTCAGACGTAAAGATAACTGGCAAATGCATGAACGGACTCACACCGGGGAGAAGCCCTATATATGTAAACAGTGTGGGAAGGCTTTCAGCAGAAAACAATATTGGCAGATACATGAACGGACTCACACTGGGGAGAAATCCTACGTATGTAAGCAGTGCGGGAAAGGTTTCAGCACACGTGCTGTGTGTAAAGTACATGAGCGGACTCACACTGGGGAGAAGCCCTACGTATGCAAGCAGTGTGGGAAGGCTTTCAGCACACACAGTGTGTGTAAAGTACATGAACAGACTCACACTGGGGAGAAGCCCTATGTGTGTAACCATTGTGGGAAAGCTTTCAGCAGAAAACAAAATTGGCAAATACATGAACGGACCCACACGGGGGAGAAACCCTATGTATGTAAGCACTGTGGAAAAGCTTTTATCAGACAAGATTCTTGTCAAGAACATGAAAGAATGCACAGTGGGGAGAAACCATATGTATGCAACCAATGTGCAAAAGCTTTCAGCAGAAAAGACACTTTTAAAGAACACAAAACAATGCACAGTGGAGAGAAACCCTACGTGTGTAAGCCCTGTGGGAAAGCTTTCAGATTACGCAAACATTATCAACGACACGTGCAAACTCACACTGCGGAGAAACTCCATGTATGTAAGCACTGTGGGAAGGCTTTCAGCACACCTGCCAATTGTCAAAAACATGAAAGGATTCACACCGGGGAGAAACCCTATGTATGTAAGCAGTGTGGGAAAGCTTTCAATAGCAAAGCAGGTTGGCAGACACACGAAAGAGCTCACACTGATGAGAAACCCTTTGCGTGTAAGCAATGCGATCAATCTTTTAGCAGTAAATATTGTTGGAAAATACATGAATGGACTCACACGGGGGGGAAACCCTATGTATGTAAGCAATGTGGGAAAGCTTTCAGCACACGTAGTGTTTTTCAAAGGCATGAACTGACACACACTGGGGAGAAACCCTACGTCTGTACTCAATGTGCGAAAACTTTCAGCAGCAGAGAAGGTTGGCAAATACATAAACGGACTCACACTGGGGAGAAACCCTATATATGTAAGCAATGTGGGAAGGCTTTCAGCACACGCAGTACATGTAAAGTACATGAATGGACTCACACTGGAGAGAAGCCATATGTATGTGAGCAATGTGGAAAATCTTTTAGCACACGCAGTAAATGTAAAGTACATGAATGGACTCACACGGGGGAGAAACCCTATGTATGTAAGCAGTGTGGCAAATCTTTTAGTACACGTGGTGATTGTAAAAAGCATGAACACACGCACACTGGGGAGAAGCCCTTTGTATGTGAACAGTGTGGGAAATCTTTCAGCACACGCAGTAACTGCAAAGCACATGAACGGATTCACACTGGGGAGAAACCCCATGTTTGCAAACAGTGTGGGAAATCTTTCAGCACACGCAGTAACTGTAAGGTGCATGAACAGACTCATGCTGGTGACAAAACCCACGTATGTAGTCAGTGTGGGAAAGCTTTCAGCACACGTGGTGATTGTCAAAAGCACGAACAGACTCACACTGGGGAGAAGCCCTATGTATGTAAGCAATGTGGGAAAGCTTTCCGAAGGAAAGCAGGTTGGCAAATACATGAACGGTCTCACACTGGGGAGAAGCCCTATATATGTAAGCAGTGTGGGAAAGCCTTCAGCACGCGTGATGTATGTCAAAAGCATGAACAGATTCACACTGGGGAGAAACCCTATGTGTGTCTTCAATGTGGGAAAGCTTTCAGCAGAAAAGCAACTTTGCAAAAACATAAATGGACTCACACTGGAGAGAAACCCTATGTGTGTAACCAATGTGGGAAAGCTTTCACCAGACAATACCGTCTTCAAGAACATGAAAGAATCCACAGTGGAGAGAAACCGTATGTATGTAAGCAATGTGACAAAGCTTTCAGCACAAATTATTATCTTCAAGAGCATGGAAAAGTCCACAGTGGAGAGAACCCCTGTGTGTTTTAGCAATGTGGAGAAGCTTTCAGTGCAAGCAGTAGTTGTCCAAGTCATAAACTGACTCACGCTGGGAAGAAACCTGTATATATACACAATGTGGGAAAGTTTTCAGAAGAAAATCATGAATATGAAAGGACTCACAATGACAAGAAGCCCTTGGTGTGTAAGAAGTGTGAGAAAGATTTCCAAACATGGTGTGTATCAAGAAAATGAACAGATTCACACTGGGGAGAAACGCTAAGTATGTAAGCAGTGTGGGACATCTTTCAGCACATGTGATGTTTGCCAGCAGCATAGATGGACTCACTCTGGGAAGAACCTGTGTATGTAACCACAGAGAGCTGTGAAGACAGTGAAAAAAGCCACAGTAGAGAGATGTTATGTAGGTAATCACTGTGGGAATTCTTTGAGCACATGATGCTCACAGTGGTGAGAAACTCGAGGTAAGCACTGCAGGAAAGCTTTCTATACATGTGGTGCTTGTCAAATGCGTGAGTGGATCCACACTGGGGAGAAACCCTGTGCGTGTAACCAATGTGGGAAACCTTTCACAAAAAACAGTTGTGAAGACCGTAAAAGTCCACAGAGAAACCTACCTGTGTAAGCAGTATGTGGTAGCTTTCAGGAGCAAAGCAGGTTGGGAAATACAGGACTCTGGAGAATCCTGTGTGTGTAGAAGTCACGGGGAAGGCTTCCATCACACAGGCAGAGTGTAAGATACATGAAAGAATTGACACTGGAGAGAAGCCCTGTGTGTGTAAACACTGGAAAAGCTTTCAACAGAGGTGGCACTGAACAAATTTATAGATGGATTCATATGAAGGAGACTGGATATATGTAAGCACTGTGGGAAAGCTTTCAGCTGACTTGTTTGTCAAAGGCATGAGTGGACTTACAGTGAGAAGCCCTGTGCTTTTAGCCAGTGTGAGAAAGCTTTCAGCAGACAACATACTTGTCAGAAGCGTGGAAGAACCCACAGTGGAGAGAAAGCCTGTGGATGTTAGCAATGCGGTAAAGCTGTCAGATGACAAGGAATGAGTCACACTGGGGAGAAATAATACGTATGTAAGCAGCATGGGACAGGCTTTAGAACACGGAGATTGTGAAGTTTGTGAAAAGACTCGCCCTCCAAAGGAAATCCTGTGTCTAAATACAGGGAGAAGTTTCCCCACACATTGTGTTTGTGGAAGACAGGGAAGAAATCACATTGTGGTGTAACCCTGTATAAGTAGCCAGTGTGAGAGTGCTTCCAGCTCACATGGTCTTTGTCAAAGACACGAAGGAACACACACTCTAAAAATGCTATTTATGTAAGCAGAGTGCAAATGCATTCGGTACACAGAGGAGTTGTCAAACACAGGAAATAAATACCCTTGGGAGTTTTCTTCTAAACAGCATGAAACCTCTTTCAGTCCACACAGCTATCAGTATATGAAAAAATTCATAGTGTAGACACTTAGGAATGTGAACAATTAAAATTCAAGTACATGAAAGAACTCCTGTGCCATGGAACATGATATATATGTGAACACTTCAAGTGTTCCACTTTCCCTTGAAAAACATGAAAGCACTCCCACTAATAAAAAGGAACCTTTTTCAATAATGTGCAAAAGCACTGTGTGATGCTGACGCTACTAGAAACTCATGAGTATAAATGCAGAATGTTCTAGAAATTCATGAGTATAAATACAGAATGTTCTAGAAATTCATGAGTATAAATACAGAATGTTCTAGAAACTCATGAGTATAAATGCAGAACATCTGACTTCATTTTCTCATTATTTTTCTTTATTTATTTATTTGGTACTGGGGATTGAACTCACAGCCTCGTGCTTGCCAGGCAGGTGCTTACTCCCCTGGCTCTTGTTAGTTTTCATACAACATGACAGTGCACAGTGGAGATATTCTTATCAGTGTTTATTGTATGGGGACGCTGGTGATTCTGGTGTAATTCATGGGGCAGTACACTGTTATGACAAACCACTCATACATTATCAGGTGTCTTGCAAGAATGAATATTGTATCAGAACCCTATGGATGTACAAAGGTGCCAGTTATAACTCAAATTTTCCAAACGCTTTCATCATTTCTCATACGGTTTTAAAAAAAAATGAGTCCTATAACAAGGGATATCAATGATTTCTTCAGAAGATAGACATAAGGAGGAGACATGCTAAAGTGTATGTATTGTAAGCTTGGCCTTAACATAGATCTTTGGATTAAACTATGTTAAATTATCTTGTAAAGACAAATCTTGTAAGCTAGGCTGGTGATGCACCCTGTGATCCCATCACCCAGGAGGCTGAGGCAGGAGGTCTGCCGTGTGTTTAAGGCCAACCTTGATTATGTAGTGAGTTCAAGACCAGTCTGAACTACATGGTGAGACTCTGTCTCCAGAAATAACTAAATGTACCCAGGAGTAGTGGTGCATGCCCGTCATCCCAGTACTTGGGTGGCTGAGGCAGGAGGATTATTGTGAGTTCCAGGCCAGCCTGGGCTGCATAGCAAAACCCTATCGAAAAAAAATAAAACTAAACCAACAAAGCAAAAAAGACTGAATGTTGTGCTCTCATAATTCTGTAGCTTAAAAGCAGTCGCACAGAAGTTTACTATTGTCTCTTAAAGTACGTAATTCTTTTGCACTACATGAGATCCAAAGTTAAAGTAATCGTGTTTCTTGCATGAGGATAGACTCAGTATTTTGAATGTCATTTTTGTTTCATTTTTTTTTTCTTTTCTTGCATTTAGTAATTTGGGGTAAAATGACTCAAAAATTGAATTTCCTTTAACAGTTTTTATTTCTAGCTTGTATTTGAAACTTTTCTATACACAGCCCATTTTTCTAGAAAGAATTTAACTGGATGTCCAGTTTTGTAATTTTGTTACTGGTAATTTCTGTACATGTGTTGAAGTGTTTCTCTTTTTGAACAACATGTAAATTGGTGATGTTCTCAATATTCTTTTTTTTTTGGTCTTTTTGAGACAGGGTCCCGCTGTGCAGTTCAGGCTGGCCTTGAGCTCACTTTGTAGCCCAGGCTGATCTTGAACGTGCAACGATCCTCCTGCCTCAGCCTCCCGAGTGCTGGGATTACAGATGTGATGTTCTCAATATTCTAAGGTGAAACCTATTCATATCCCAACATAATATCAGATTTACATACTGCACAATTTTTCATTTATTCTCTTCATCAGAGTGATTAATGTCCTGTGTGTACAACATCAGTTGTTTTTATCATTAAATGTTATTTATCATGCTCGTATTGTCAGGCTTCATTTAGGAGGTTATTGTTCTGTCCACCACCCCAAAAGAAACATCTATATTTTTGTGAGTGTACCACTGCCAGAGACCAGCAGAACCAAGTATTTTCTCAAAGTAGATGCAAAGCATTGTGATAGTTCACCTCTTCAGCAGCTCTAAATGTTGGTGTGATTTGTTAGCAAGAACATTTTCTTTTTTGTCTTTTTCGTTTTTTTTATGGGTACCAGGGATCGAACTCATGACTGCCTGCTTGCAAGGCAGGCGCTTATGCCACTGAGCTAAATCCCCAGCCCCAGCAAGAACATTTTCAAGAATTTTTTAATTTTTTTTTTTTTTTGTACTGGGGATCGAACTCACGACTTTGCACTTCAGGGCAGGTGCTGATGCCACTGAGCTAAATCCCCAGCCCTTGATAATTTGTTTTGTTGTGTTTCTGTTGGGTTTGTTTCTTTATGATGAAATAGTCTTTTTTTAAAAAAAAAATTCTGTGAATATCATTTGTGCTTTGGAGAATGATCTTTTTGTTCGATTAGGAAGCAAAAGTCAGTTACTAAAATAGAAATTCAGTAATGTTTGTGATTTGCCTGTGTTCTCTTTTATCAGCCTTAGAGATAAATGCATAGCACCATTTGTCACCAATAGCTCCCACTGTCTGATGCTGCCTACACAAAGGAGTTTACAGACGCATTTTATTGAAATCATTTTAGTCAGCAAATGATGCTGTAATGTGTGTCAGTTTCTTGTCATTCACCTCACTTCTGCTTGTACCTGTGACAAAAATGAAAAATTTATATAAGGAAGGTGACATTTATTTAATATTAATATGTTGTATCCCAAAAATGAGACCTTGAGATGTTGTCCAAGAACGAGACAACACGTCTTTTAAAAGAAAAATAGCACTTTATATAAGCTGGCACCAGCGACAGTGCAGTCGGAGTTTGCGAAGCTGTGTAACCTGGTTAAAATTTTGTCAGGCTTATAAAGCAGAAAACCACAAAGCAAAGGATGGGAGGGGGACAAAGATGAGGAAAACCTCTGTTCCCTTTTTGCTTGAGGACAGTTTTTAGGGGAAGTTTCACAGGCGGTGGTCAGCCAGTTTCTTCTTTACAGGAATTTATAGCTCTTGGTCAACGAATTCCAGGAATATGTTTTTCATTATGGGGCAAGGGTTAAGACAGGGTGCGGGCGGTTGTGGTCATCTAATTGCAGACAGCATCTGTCCTTTACAAAGGGGAACCAAGGTTAGCACAGCCAACAGGTTACCCAGGGTGATGACACATACAGAACAGTATAGCGGCACTTTGGTTAATTTACAGCAATGTGGTCGGTGCTCCAGGATGGTCAGCTGTGAAAAACAGCTGTGTTTGCAAAGGGAGTTACAGGGTAATTCGGGCAAATACCTAGAGCATGGGCGAGAATAGAACAGGATGATGGCGCTCGGGCTAGAGCACAACATACTACATGCATGGATCCATTTGGATTTCATCTGTTTGCCTATGAGCGACCCATTTCTTTTCTGGAATCAAATCTAGGCCCTCACATTATCTCTACTTGTGATGGCCTCTAAGCCTGCTCCAGCCTCCATGCTTTCTTCGGTCTTTCTTACCATTTGACAGAGGGTCCCCTTTGGCCTGTGTAGTGTCCCTTATTACAGTAGGGTTGTACATTTGCCAAGGACCCCCAGGGAGAAAGTGCCCTCTCCGCATGCTGTGTGACTACAAACGGTGGCGTAAGTCCTAGTACTGGTGTGATCACTGCTGCCCCCTGTTATTGTGGTGTCTGACAGAGTGCACAGCAGCTTCCGTTTCCCACTTTGTAGTGAACAGGCATCATGGACTGTTTCTTCCACTCCACATAAATAACCCATTTCCCTTCCTAGTCCACTACACACAGTCCACATTAAGGGCCAGTGTAATGACCGTCAAGCCTCGAGCTGGAGGAGCTGCTGGGAGGCATGGCCCCCTGCGGGCTCCCTGTTGCCTTCTGGGGGTCCTGTACACCTGTGTGTGGAGCTGCCACGTCTTTGTGGCACAGCACACGTCTTCATGCAGCGCCCACCTTGCTGATTGTGCTGCTCGGCTCAGAGCTGCAGGTCTCTGTCCTGTTTGCCTTGCAGCACTAAATGTGAAAACACCGTGGAGCCAGGTCGTGGAGTTGGAGTGTCTCGCACCTTTCATTGTTCTGATACAGAAATGTACATGCCTCGCACAATTCCACACGTAGAAATCAACTTGGTGAGTGATTCGGCCACAGGACAGGAAGTCTACTGTTAAACGAGGACGTCTGCTAGACCTGGTCCTTGTTCTCGCCATGAGCATTCTGATTGTTGTTTCCTTACTGCTGTATTTCCATGGTTGCTGTTGGGCGCAGGCGCTCAACATACCATACCCCACCCGGGACTAAGGACCACGCCAGCTTCCGCAATGCGCTACGTCCCTCTTTAAATTAGCCAACCCGTGTGCACTTCGTGCTCACTCCATACTCTGTGGCAACTACTGATTGGCCACAGCTGGATATAGTAGCCGGAGCCTACATCCCATTCCCGCCCTGCTTCCTTGTGGCAGCCTGTGATTGGTCACGGCCGAATATATAAACCAGAGCCCGCCTAAATAAACTAGCAGTTAACTGTCGTCCACAAGAGCGTCTCCTGTCTCCTGTTCATTGGAGCTGCGCCGGTCAGTTGCTTCTGTACTGTAGTAGACAAGGGATCCACTTGACTCGACTTGAAATCACAAGCGCAGCTTAAATGTAGATGCTAACACTAATGTGGCAGCTGGAGGGCTAATATTAATATTAATGACAGGCAGAGAACATCTCTAAGCAGAGACCCTCACTAGTGATCTAGCGGAATGAAACTCCCGACCTACCGTGTCCACTGAAAGGATTTTGCCCTGAATGGGACACTGCAGTGCTGGGAGTGGTGGTGGCGGGGTTCTCTCTCCGCATTCTTAAAATAAAGGCCACTTTTATCTCATATTTCTGTCTTTTTAGCCACACCAAAAATTCGATCAACCGAGAGCTCGTGTTCTCTAAAACCAAAGAATGAATTTTAGGAACAACGGAGGTGAAGAGTAGGATCTATTTATTGCTCTTAAACACTTTCTACACTTTTAAGTGTATGTAATTTTAACACCATACGAAATTCCCTAAATCCCACAATATACTGAAAACTCTACCATACAGTGATAGGATTTTCGGCACGGCTAAAAAGATAGAAATATGATATAAAGGTGGCCTTTATTTTAAGAACATGGAAAGCCAGGTGTGGTGGCTCATGCCTGTAATCCCAGCACTCAGAGGCTAAGGCAGGAGGATGGTTGCAAGTTCGAGACCACCTTGGGCTACACAGTGAGCTCAAGGCCAGCCTGAACTGCACAGCGAGACCCTGTCTCAGAAAAAAAAGAGAACGGGGAGAGAGAACCCCCCGACCACTGAGGCCTGGCTTTCTCTCTGCCGGGCACGTGTTGGGTGCATACATATAGCTTAGATTTGGGTGGTGCCTAAGGGGCATCACTGACGCACAGGTAGCCCAGTGGAATTCATTTTGTGCCACAGGTAAATTGCCCAGAGGTGGGGAAGGTGCCCTCAAGATAGAGCCCCTTGGTTCCGCCCCCCAGCCTCCATGGCTGCTGCAGCATCACATTCAGGGCAAAATCCTTTCATTCCCGTCTCTTATTATTAGGAAAAGTTTTTCTTTCTTTTACTATTTCCTGCTGAAAGGGGGCGCTGTGTTGGGGTTTAAGAGGGTTGATGGGATGACGGTGGATGCCCACGCAGAAGCTGGTGCCAGCTGTTTTAGCCAGGACAACTTTATCATTGGTGAATGCCTGCATCTTAGACTGGAAAAACAAACAGACAAGGTGTTATGAGGAGGAAGGCCACTGTCGTGCTTAAGGACCCAGGTGAGGGAGAAGGAAAGGTGCCTTTGATTTAGACATGTCATTTTATCAGGACTACAGTGAGGTAGAATTCTGAAAACTAAGTGTGGGGTTAGGAGGAGTGCAGTTATGAGAGGTGACTACTCCCCCATCTGAAAGGGTAAAAGTTGAGAGGGTAGGTAGGTAAGGCTTGTCTCTGGTCTGCATGATATGGGAGTCTTTAGGAAATACTGTTTAGAGTCCTGCTGTAAAAAGGATAATTGATAGAATGTAAGAAATTAGGAACCAAAGTGGATGACTTAGCCCGAGAGTTGTGGCTGCGAGGCCTTGGTGAGGCGGAGATGAGTGGGCGACAGGATGCTTAGATTCAGGGCTGGAGGGCACCACTTAGCCTGAGTGATGTGGGGCCAGGACGGCAGCCCAGCAACTCTGACTGCTGTTGAGCTGGCCAAGAAGACCAGGTAGGGGCCGCTCCACCTTGGTGGTAGTCTTTGGGATGATTTGCTGTAACAGGACTTTAGTAAGTACATCAGCAGTCTCCCTGGTTGTGGGAAAGGCTTTTATTTATCCTGAAAAAGTACAAACAAAGCTGAGAAGATTTTTGAGAGTTTTGTGGCAGGGCATGTGTGTAAAATTTAAGTCCCTGTAAATGTTTGGAAGCCATGGGATATTGGGGAACACAAGGAGAAATTGAAGGATTCCCCAAGACGAATTAGAATAGGCATGGCACGGGCAGTACAGGTGGGACTGGAGGTATCTCAAACTATGGGATTGACCAGAGAAGCAGTGAGTCTGGAACCTGCATGGAATAGGCTCTGTCTGTACAGGCTGCACAGATTGGCCATCAACACTCCCTATAGAGACTAAAGAGTTAATATAGCAGCCTGAACGCTCAGGAAGAACCCTACACATGGCTCTATGTCCACAAGTACAGAATGTCTCACCTGAGCCTTCCAGTGGGACTTGGGGCCCTGAGAAGGACACCTTAATGGGGGCCGCGGGCCCCGAGCCCCATCAGTCTTCAGCAGCAAGTCTGAGCAGATCTGTCAGCGATGAACCTGGCCGTGATGGAGTCTCCTATGCGGGGAAGGAGTTGGAGGATGGCTTACCGCCCTCTGGTGGCCAGGACAGTGGCTCTTCCAGTGGCCCTGGGGCAAGGCCCCACAGGAACCCAGGATGGGGCACTCTCTGGCCCAATGTTCTTTTTCACTGCATTTGAAGCATGGTCCAGGAGGGGCTCAGGCAGTCCACCTTGTGCCAGTTTACCCGTCTCAGAGCTCCAAGTACCACTGCTAAAAGATCAGATTGTTATCTTTATCTCTGTTATTGAAAACATGAAAAGAGATATTAAGAAGGGCTCTCTGGGGGCTGGGGGTTTAGCTCAGCGGCATAAGCACCTGCCTTGCAAGCAGGCACTCGTGAGTTCGATCCCTGGTACTGATAAAAACGAAAAAGACCAAAAAAAAAAAAAAATTTAAAAAAAAAAAAAGAAGGGCTCTCTGTGGGGTTTAAGGACCAAGTTTAGCCTTTTGTCTTGGGATCTGGCCACAGTGGAAGGTATCTGTAGAGTCAATTAAGTATACAGAAGTTAAATAGTACAATGAACAGGGTATTTATGATTATAACTTTAGTAATAACTTCCCACAAGGAGGATAAGGTCCAGGGAATTTTAGGAACTGACATGTCATTTACTTGTCATAGATAAGTACCTCTTATGCTGTTAGAATGTCTAATGCCATCTGAATTTTTGAAGGATGGCCCGCTTTATTAACTTTACCTTTTTATTTAGGAGAGAGATCAGCTGTGGTGTCATTTAACACCAGCTGAGTATAGTTAATTATGGCTCGGAGGAGGCCTGCGGACAGGCTGGGAAAGGCTCAAAGCTGGCCTCTGCCCCAGTGCTGGTCTTGTTTTGCACGCATCAATAACCTTTTTCTGGAAAAGATCTGGTGGATCCCTGCAAACAGAATCCAAAAGGAATTTATAATTATCTCTTAATTTTAGTTGTTGGACATCCAGAAGATTGACAACAGTACAGTGCAATACAGGCAGTAAGCTTAACATAGAACATTAAATGGCTGTTAACCATGGGTGTTTTAGCATTTGCCTACTGAAGAAATTTGTGAAGCGTCTCTAAGCATATGTCTGGATGTGAAAGAAAACACTTGTCATTATACATTACATAAATTTTTGCTTAAACATTATTTGACTGGTGACCTCGTGTTGGTTTGATCTGAATCTGTTAGCTGGAACGCAAGAAGAAGACAGCAGAAACAACCCCAATTTTATCTCTGAAGGCATGAACACACCATCAGATCAGCAACAATGAACTGTCTTGGTCACATGAACTTTAGTTGAGGTGTCTCCCATAAGGCTGTGGAGATTATTGGAGGCTTTAATTAATAAACAAGATCTGGTAAAATCACCAGGTGGCCACTTTTCCTGTTTATCAACTGAAGTTTTGTGCAATGTCTCCTCAACCCGAGGGATTTAACCAATTTTAACCCAAATACACCTTGATTAAATGGCTTGAAAATGCAAAAAAGGAAAAAAAGATTGCTGAGCTCAAATAAAAGGAACAGCTGTTCACAGAGCAGGCAAATGGACAGACACGGACAGATGGTCTGTGCACTATCAACGGGCTGGACAAACAGACAACAGATACACAGACCGACCACTGTCTTATAACATTAGAGTGCACTCAAATACATTGGGCCAATTTGAGCTACAATAAATAAGACCGGTGTGAACCTTCTTGTAGATTACTTAATAGCGATCACTTGAAATAAGAATACCAGAAAAGGAACCTGGTTAGCTCAGAGAGTTAAGAAGGAATGGCCAGGCACCCCGCCTCTCCAGGGAGCCACTGGCCCCTTTTCCTGTCCGGCTGTGTCCCGCGGCCTCCTCCAAGCCACCTGCGCAGGAGCCACGCTCCCGGGATGGCACCGGGGGAAGGATCTGCCCGTGAGGCGCCCAGAGCCAGCAGGAGGATCGCTGAGCCTGTGCATGGCGTGAGCCAGAGGAGCCCAGTACGCATGCGCACCGCCTCCGCCCTCCCCCACTGCGCTGGCGCCTGCGCAGCCCAACTCCGACCGGCCCCTCCCCCCACCCGAGTGCATGCTGGGAAAGGCGGGCTGGGGGGGTGGGGATTGAGAAATGGGTGACTTGGGGTGGGCACTGCAGGGGAGAAGCTGCAGAGGAGCTGTATCCTAAGTGTTGGGGCCTGGAGGAGGGACCCTGAAAGAACCAACAGAGAGAGGGACACATCCTTAAAACAAAGGGCTAAACATGGAGAAGTTTTTCCACCTTGCTGCCATTGCGATAAAAGCAAAATAAAAGATCAGCTTTTTGGTTGTTGGTAGCGTTTTGAACCAGGCACCCAGAGCTGTGTTCAACTGAGGTAAAATGAGCCACCTGAACCGTGGCCAGTGTAAGAGGTCGTCACCTAATATTGTGGACACATGGTTAATCAGTTCGAAACTCGTGCTTTTTTTTTTTTTTTTTTTTTTTTTTTGCTTTTTGAGACAGGGTCTCGCTGTGCAGTCCAGGCTGGCCTTGAGCTCACTGTGCAGCCCAGGCTGGTCTGCAGCTCACAAGGATCCTCCCGCCTCAGCCTCCCGAGTGCTGCGATGACAGGTGTGAGCCACCACGCCAGGCTTCCAACTCCTGCTTTTAAATTGCCACCAAATATGAACGCAGAAACTACAGGAGATGTCTAAGGTAATTTGTACTCAAAAACACGTTCCTCACTTTTGAGGAACGTTCCTCACTATTGAACCTATGGAAACTATAGAAAGCAGACCACGCTTCAATGTTAATCTTTGAAAATTGCGCAGCACACGTACCCACGTTGGCTGTCTCCATCTGACACTGACATAGTCCAGTGTGAAATGTATGTGGGACTCACACAGTGCCAGAACTGACATGGTGACCTAGAAGATCAAACAGCCGGAGGAGCTGGCACCTGTCCTTAGTCTGAGGCAGCAACGTCCCCACACGTCCAGGCTGTCCGAGGACACACAGTGAGGTCAAAGCCAGGCTCCAGCTCAGACAGAGACCTGGTCTTTCTCTGATTTTCTTCCATGCGCAGATTTATAGATGTGCAGACTGAAATTACATTCAGTCCCTGAGGCCAGGAGGGTATAAAACCATTTTGTGTATACACTGAGAGCTGATTTCTAACTATGGATACTTGTTTTGAAAGACCACATTAATAGCAAAGAGATGATGCGATATCATAGGTACCTCAGTGTGATGTACACTTTCGGGGTTCAAACAGCGCTAATGTGAATGTCTTACAATTCCAAAAGAATAACTGTCTCCATTACCTATTTTGTCAAGCAGTCCTCCAAACTCACAGGCCATTTGCAATGTAAAATATCGGGAGGGACCTCCCGAGGTCACATGTGGGCCTGTTGCGTGTGATACCACGTAGGGAAATGTTTACGGAGATTCCACAGAAAGGGGAAACTAGGCGTTGTGCTTACCCAGCTAGTCCTTGTTTTGAGATGATTTTTGTTCGTTTTTTTTTTTTTTTTTTTTGTGACAGGGTCTTGCTGTGTAGCTCACGCTGTGTTCTCACGCTGGGCACCTTATTGATTCACGAGACTGTTACAGAAGAGGAGCTGAAACTCCTGTGGGTTACATCAGTGCCCAAACTCTGGCTTACTTTCCAACCCTGAAAATCACGTGGTCTGGGCACTTGTGGAATTAACCCACAGAAGAATGAACTGACGTATTTGCCAAAATAGCAATGAATCTAGAGCCCATAATGTTATGTTAAATAAGTCAGACAGAGACATTTTAAAATTTATTTTATCTTATTGTCTTTTTGAGACAAAGTGTTGCTATGCAGTTCAGTGTGGCCTTGAGCTCACTGTGTAGTCCAGGCTGCTCCCAAACTTGCATTGAGCTCAAGGCCAGCCTGGACTTGGGTGGCTGAGGCAGGAGGATCATTATGAGTTCCAGGCCACTCTGGGCTTCAGAGCAAAGCCCTGTCTCAATCAAAACAAAACCAACACTGCAAACAAGAAATGCTGTGCTCACATAATCCTGAATCTTCTATGCAGTAGCAAAGGTGTTTAATATTGTCTCATAAAGTACATAAAAATTGTGTTTAGCTCACACTGCATTAGATCCAAAGGTGGAGCGACTTATATTTCTTATATGATCGCAAGCTTAGTATACTTTAGGTCACTTTTGTTTGCTTTTCTTTCCTTTTGTGTTTACTTATTACAAGGTAACCTGACTCCAAAATTGAATTTCCTTTTATTGTCATTTTTGCAGTGGCTTGTGTTTCAGGCTTTGTTGCACACAGTCCATTCTAGTTAGACTGTGTTAATTTGATATCTTATTTTCTTTATAATTTGATTACTGATAATTTCTATACATGTGCTTGAGCGATTACCATCCCGTGTGTACAATACGGGATGTTTTTTGTCAGTAAATTTTACCTTTCATGCTCACACTGTCATTCGGTATTAGGGAGGTAATTATTTAAGCTGCCATTCCAAAAACAATCTGTATTTCGGTGAGTCCCCCCTGCTGGAGAGCAGCAGAACCATCTCAGCAAGGCTATGCAGTGTGATAATCTACCTTTCAAAAGCTGTGAATGCTGGTGTGACTTCTTAGCAAAAACACTGTCAGGAATTTTTCACTGTGTTGCTGTTGGCTGTCAGCATTCCACTGGGTTTCTATTCTTTGTAACAAAGTAGGTTTTTTTTTTTATTAATCTGCAAATACCATTTGTTTTGGAAAACGATGATTTGTTTTTACCCTGGAAAGCTAAAATCAGTTATTGGAATAGAAGTTGAGTAACCTTTGTGATTCATTTGCGTAGTCTTTTATCAGCTTTAGAGCTGAATGTTTGGTGGATTTCCTCACCGTCACTAGCTCCCACTGTCTGACGGCTGAAGGCGGTGATGTTACCTACACTGTGTAAGACTGCACAGCTGTCCCCGGGACCGTCTGGCACCCTTGCTGTCCTTTTGCCTTCTTACTTGCTAGTACTGAAGTGCATTCTAGAACTCCCTGTGTTATTGAACCATATTCATATTCAATTCGGGAGCTGCTCCATTTACCAGGGGGCTGCATTCTCTTAGGGACAGGTCACAGTCAGTGACAAACACAGTGCGTAAGTAGCTCTAATACTGGAACAGTCTACCTCACCCTGCCCTGAGTTAATTTTGCTTGGACAGTTACATTAGCTATCAGGGGGGCAACGTTTTATAAATTTCTTTAATGATGTATTTTGCTTTTTATTGAGGCAAAGTCACATCATACAGCCCAAGCCAGGCTCAAATTCATGGAGTCCTCACCGTCCCAAGGGCAGGTTTTAAATGCATTCACCACCCAGCAAAATTTGACTGTGGTACACTGAAATACTCAATGTCTCGTGTGCTTCATGAACTACACTGCATTGCAGAGTGCAGGATTACTGTTGACACGCCCACCTGTGTGGCTGATGGTGTCCCGCAGCTCACTTCCAATTCTTGTCACCATCATCATCAGAACACTGCATGGTGCATACTGCTGTTTGAGCCAAAGAAAAAGCTGAAAGAGCTCATTTTATGCTGAGCATATTTACTTCTAAAAATCAGCAGCATTTGTAAAAGCCTGTCTAAACAGAACAGCCGACAGCACCTGAGCTTCACGAGAAGCCCCAACAGTCTGGGCTTGTTGCCTCAGCTCTGTGTCACACTCACTACTTGCGTGACTCCATAATGCTGGGCACAGCACTTTGTCACGGATCATGTCCACCCGTGTCTCCTTCAGTTCTGCACAGGAAATGTAAGCGCACTGAGCAGTGGCCTTCACCAAACCACAAAGCTCATGGTGGTCATCTGTCGCATGATGGTGGGCACATGGTGGTGTGTGTCCTCCCCATGTCACAGACAAAGTCAGCTGTGCTGTGTATAATTCATGACTTTGTGCATCTTAGAGACACTGACCTCAGCTGTGCTGAAATGTCTAATGGGTTGGATACCCCGGAATGGGGAGCAGTTTATAAAATGCCTACATTAGAAGAACAGCACACGTCCAGATAAATGATCTGATCATGCACATTGAAAGTCTCAAAAACTGAGGACACCCCAAACACAAAACTCAGACACTGAAGAAAAGTAAAATGATGCAAACAAATTGGTACGATTAGCTGGGCCTTGTGGTACACACCTGTAATCCAGCACGTGGAGCTGGGGCAGGAGGATGGATGTGAGTTGGAGGCCAGCCTGGGCTGCACAGTGAACTCAAAGGCAGCCTGCCTTACAAGGCCATACCCTGGCTCAAAAAAACAAAATAAACAAAACAAAAATAAATTGGTATAATTGAGGCTAATGAAACATGACACAATCATCTGAATAGATATAGAAAAAGTCTTTGGGTGCACCTCAATCGAGCAGTTACTCACGAAAAACTTACTATGAATACTACATTAAATCTGTAAATATACAAAAATTTTCCAAAAATTTAGGAAGAAAAGAATGATCACTATGAAAACTTTTTAATGCACTCCATTAAACTAGAGCCTGAGCAACAAAGAAAAAGGAAGAAATAAAAGAGATACATACAGAAAAGGAAGACCACAAACCAATGAAAGGGTAAATAAAATATAATTATGCACAGTAGAGTGTCGGTGTCGCTCCCGGCCGGCAGGAAAGACACACGACAAGGTCTGGCAGTGGCTAAGTCTTTATTTTCTCTCCGTACAGTCTGCCCCGGGATCCTACCCGGCCGAAGCCTCAACCGGTCTGCTCCCTGCGGCTCCTTCTGTGCTTCTTCTTTACAGTCTGTCCCGAAGCCTCAACCGGTCCGCTCCCCGCGGCTCCTTCCGTGCTTCTTCTTTACAGTCTGTCCCGAAGCCTCTACTGGTCCGCTCTCCGCGGCTCCTTCCGTGCTTCTTCTCTACAGTCTGTCCCGAAGCCTCTACCGGTCCGCTCTCCGTGGCTCCTTCCGTGCTTCTTCTCTACAGTCTGTCCCGAAGCCTCTACTGGTCCGCTCTCCGCGGCTCCTTCCGTGCTTCTTCTCTACAGTCTGTCCCGAAGCCTCTACCGGTCCGCTCTCCGCGGCTCCTTCCGTGCTTCTTCTCTCGTGGCGGGAGAGGCACTCACTTTTATAGGGTTACAGTGGCCAATCAGTTCAAAGCGCGCGATGCGGGCTGATTGGCTAACATCAGTTGTTGCTAGGCAGACTATCTTACAGAGCGGGTTGTTTACCAAGCAGGAAGCAGGAGATAAGCGCCATCTTAGCACACTCGATGGGAGGGGTAATCTAGCTCAGGCTTTGCTCTTTCTTACAGGCCTCACGTCCGCCAAGTAAGGCGACTGGGCTCGGCCGCGGCTCCCAACATCTCCCCCTATTTTATTTTACAAGAACGAGCGCATCGCAGCCCATCCTGGATCAAGCGTAGAGGCCTACGCCCTGTATCTGAGGCCCACCGCAGGCCTTTGGGTTGGAACCCGGGCGGCCGTCCCAGGGTCCACCAAGGCCTTGAGGCCCTCATCCTTTTTTCCAGGGCCAGGAACGAACTGGACGGAACCTGGATGCACATAGGCATGCGCTCATGCCACTCCGTGTGATCCCCTCGGAGAGGCATCTAGACCTGGGCAGATTCTAGTAATCCAGCGGCTTTCGTGCAGTATGGGGTAGGGCCTGGCTTAGGTCGAGTCGTGCTGGGGAGGCACGCTCTTACCCGTCATTGACTCACCTACCCTGCTGTGTGGTGTCAATAGGGAAGGAGTTCGGAAGACCCGCCACATTTAGACCCGGTCGTAGGCCAGTCGAGCGAGCCATGCGTAAGCCTGGGGGTCATTGTGCCCATCACGGGCTGCTGCCAGGGCTGCATGGGCAACCAGGCGTACTTGACGCCGGGCCGCCGCAAGGCACCCATTAATAAATGATGTAACCCATCGGAGCAAGAATGGCCCTACAAGCAAAAGCAGAAGCAAGGAGCACAGGGGACCTAACAATGGTAAAACATAGGGGAGCAAGCCATTCCAGGCTCCCCAAAAGGGATTATCCTGTAACTCTTTTCTTCTTTTTTCCAGGTCTTCCTGTAACTTCTTTAATCGGTCTCGAACGATTCCGGACTTGTTGGCATAAAAGCAGCATCTTTCCTGTAAGGCAATACAGATACCTCCCCTCTCTACAGTGAGTAGATCTAGGCCCCTTCTATTCAGCAGAACAACCTCTGCAAGGGAATCAATTTGATCTTGTATCTCCTGAAGGGTTCTCTCAACTATAGACATATCTTCTATCAATTGCTTGGATAACTGAGTATATTTGGTTAATGAAACTCCTAGGCCCGCAGTCCCGGCGGCCAGGGCTCCAGTTATCCCCAGACCAGCCAAGAGAGGTAAAATCAGTACATCTCTCTTATGTCTTTTTATAAAGGTGTCCACAGCTGGGATGGGCATGGGTTGGTCCCCAGGGACAATACCAATGTCAGGCAACAAGTAAGCTAGGCCACATAGGCCGGTCCAATTACTGGGCAGGTAAGTATAAGCATGACCATTGCCGCAAGCAAATACTTTGCCAAAGGGGGCACATAGCGGCGAGCTACTACTTACATTGGTTATGGACTCACACGAGGTGACTGCCAGCGCTCCAACAACAATATCATAACTATTATTTTGTGGGTACTTTTGGAAACAGGATGCATTAAACTGTCCCATAAATTGGACCCGAAATGGAGGCCCATGTGAGCAATTATAGGGTGTGCTATAATTGTAAGGTTCACTTTCATAGTCTCTAAACGGCATGGCCAGCGGCCATGATTCTCCCATCATCATACACAGCCAACAATCGGAGGCCAGCCCTGGGTCAGTAAGATTGAGTGCTTTGTGGGTAGCCTCTAATATGGATTCAGTAGCGGGGTCAAGGTTAACGCCTCGGGATTTAGGGCGTAGGAGTGGATGGTAATTGACTTCAGGGAACGGATTTAATTGTTCCCATCGCTCGATGACCTGTTCCTGCCGGTACTGGTCTTGGACCCCTCCACCGTCAGAGATGTGAACGGGGGCGGTCATAGACCAACAGACCGTTTCTCCAACCTCTCCATTACAACCTGACTGCATGAATGGGGAACCGCCTACAGCAGCGGGAATATGGTTAGGGGCAACAGGGCTTTTAGTTGTAGTTAGCGTTGCCATCCAATAGGTTGTACTGTTGAGTTTGCATTGTTTTGTTTCTGTATAGCATGTAACATGCATGGATTCCTCAAACTTAGTGCAGGAACATGTGGCGAGATTACCAGGCCCTGAGGGACTCACCTTAGACTTAAGTATGCATTGATAGAATGGTTGACTGAATCCTCCTGCAGTGGAGCTGTACACAACTGAGTAAGCTGTTTTATCCCCACAATCGGTCCCTGGTCCTTTTTTGGCGATAGGTGGTATACTGCTTACTGTGCCACCTCCGCAATCGCACGGACTGCCAAGAAGGCTCGTGCGAAGATCTGTTCCAGAAGCGGGGCCCCCCAGCCCCGCATGTACCATACTTATCCTGAGGAGGGCTAGGACAACGCCACCAACGAAAAAAGCAGCCTTTTTCGGGTTCATCTGGCTATCAGGCCTGCTGCTGGTCTCCGGCAGGACAGGAATAGCCTTCAGTCGAAGGGCTTGTTGCACGCGTCAGTCTTTCTGGGACCCACAATGGTTCTCGTCCCGGTTCCTGTCCGACAGCACCACGCTGGAGCGTTGCACACCACCGAGAGGAGTGATCAGTTCCCCGTACGGGCCACCAGATGTCGGTGTCGCTCCCGGCCGGCAGGAAAGACACGACAAGGTCTGGCAGTGGCTAAGTCTTTCTTTATTTTCTCTCCGTACAGTCTGCCCCGGGATCCTACCCGGCCGAAGCCTCAACCGGTCCGCTCCCCGCGGCTCCTTCCGTGCTTCTTCTTTACAGTCTGTCCCGAAGCCTCTACTGGTCCGCTCTCCGCGGCTCCTTCCGTGCTTCTTCTCTACAGTCTGTCCCGAAGCCTCTACCGGTCCGCTCTCCGCGGCTCCTTCCGTGCTTCTTCTCTACAGTCTGTCCCGAAGCCTCAACCGGTCCGCTCCCCGCGGCTCCTTCCGTGCTTCTTCTTTACAGTCTGTCCCGAAGCCTCTACTGGTCCGCTCTCCGCGGCTCCTTCCGTGCTTCTTCTCTACAGTCTGTCCCGAAGCCTCTACCGGTCCGCTCTCCGCGGCTCCTTCCGTGCTTCTTCTCTACAGTCTGTCCCGAAGCCTCTACCGGTCCGCTCTCCGCGGCTTCTTCCGTGCTTCTTCTCTCGTGGCGGGAGAGGCACTCACTTTTATAGGGTTACAGTGGCCAATCAGTTCAAAGCGCGCGATGCGGGCTGATTGGCTAACATCAGTTGTTGCTAGGCAGACTATCTTACAGAGCGGGTTGTTTACCAAGCAGGAAGCAGGAGATAAGCGCCATCTTAGCACACTCGATGGGAGGGGTAATCTAGCTCAGGCTTTGCTCTTTCTTACAGGCCTCACGTCCGCCAAGTAAGGCGACTGGGCTCGGCCGCGGCTCCCAACAGTAGAGTAGTTTTCTGTGGTAAAGAATAAACTGGAGTCCTTTGTAGCAACAGGAATGCACCCACAGAACATATTAAGATAGACAGGGTGCAGAAATGGTAGAGAGGAAGTCACCTCAACCTCACTGAGACTCAGATTCCAAGCTGGGGGAGAAGATGTGGAGACCCTCAAAGAAGACGCGGATCCCTGTGCGCTGCAGGGACAGGGTGTGACTCTGCGCCCGTGTGTTTGTCCACCATGGAGGTTACTGAGTGACTCTACTACAAGTGCCCACATCCAGCCCGCGGATCAATCCGTGGGGTGTACCTGCAGGAGGAACTGGGATGATAAAGAACAGGGGGAGAGACAAAGAGAGATAGACAAGGTGAGGACTCCAATCAAGTCTCATTTATTCAGGAAGAGGTTGCAGCTTTTATGGGCCAAGGGTGGGCTGGTGGGACAGGAAGAGGCTATGGGGTGGTTTCTGATGGGTCATCGTCACGTCCGGGTATGTGACATAAGCAGGAGAGGATTATGGGTAATGTAGGCAGGTGCATTATGTGCCCATAAGAGACAGGGGCAGGGAGGCAGCAATGGGGCTGTCACGCCGCTCCCTACATCTCTTTCTATATTATTTAATCAGGAGTATGGCAGGCCCTGTGAG